TTCCCGGTATATCCTACACTGATATTTTTTTAAGGTGAATTGCCATTGCCCGGTATATATTTGCCCGATATTGCAATCACTTATGTTTCTTCTAATTTATCGTCAGTAAGTATTAAAATATCGAATAAATGTAATTATATCCACGAATAAATTAGTATCAAATCGGATGTAATAAATATTTCAAACATTCACCAAAGCGACTATGCGATTGTCAACATTCACCGGTCAAAGTCAACAACCACCTATTTCAGTCATTCACAGTAACATGCACATCATTTACATAATAACCTCATCAGGACGTTTATCTCATACTTTTAATAGCATTTGGCATTCTATATAATGCCTAGGCATTATATGCAATGCCTAGGGAAAGTATATATTACTTCGCATATTTCATACTTTGCCTAAAAACGTCCGGTATTATATAGAATGTCTAGGCATTTTATATAATGTCGGTGTTTCATACTTTGCCGGTAACATATATATAAATAAACTGAATGCTTTCCGAGTTTTGTTAAAGTAGTTTAGCTACTAAAATGTATTGTTCAGTAACTAAAATGTATGGTTGAGTAATTAAAATACATTCAAGCTTATATCGTTCAAAATATTTGACTTTTGTCATTGAAAGTTGAATGACACAAGATATAAAAAGATAGTTTGAAAGAAATCTGTATGCCCTAGCCAAGTTTTATCTCACGCTCTAGTTTAAATAAAACTCATTCATTTTATACTCTACTTATTTATTTTTTACTTATTATTTAGTTTATTATTTAGTTTATTATTTATTTTATTTATTTTGAGATGTCGATAAAAGGAAAAAATAAGCAATACGATTATTAGGTAAAGCACAATAAATTCCTTGATTAATTATTCATACTTAAATCTAACATATGTGACTGGACAATGATTCCAAAAATTTTTCAGATAGATATTTATTGAAAAAAATCGATATTATAAATTATAAGTTTCTTTTTTTTGTCAATCTGAGGTCATTGTCATCTTTAATAACGTTAAAAGAGTATTATCTAGATTTTATCGACTTTATCAAAAGTTTCCGCAACATTCAATAACTTTCTTCCTTCCACTAATGTCCCATGACTTGAAAAATATTATCGGCTGCTTGCAATATTATTCATCAGTTTCATATTGAATTGCATATAGCGTTGCAATTTTACTTTAAGTAGGCTCTGAAACTGAAACAGGGAAAAGAATATAGTTTTCTAATTACTGATTCTTACGGGTATGCTTTTTTCTCATTGCTCTCCTTCTAATTTCAACTGATGTCAAATTTTTTAATCAAGTCATTTTCTAAAAAAACAAAAATGCAATGAAATTAGAATTTTCAAGAAAAAGCTAACACATTAAAGGGATTAAAATCTTGATAAAGCTGTTTCTTTTGATAAATAAATGAAACTGAAAGTTTTCAAAGATACTTTTAAGCAAATCCAAGAAAATTGTTGACCAAAAATATCAACTGAGTGCCAGAAATTGATACCCTATTTCCAAATACAAATTTTAATGCATGAAGGAACCTAAACAATATTAATGAATTATTTATTTTTCCGCTAAAATTTAACAGCTAAATTTTTTTATTAATTTTCTGTTTCTAAAAAGATTATCTAGTTCATGTTTCTTTCTTCTCAATTATCTGTACTTGATGTAAGCTACTCTGAGAAAAATTATGCTCAAACCTTTCAGAATATGGTATTGTTATTGAGTAATTACCCAATTCTTAAGTGATCGTTGATAAACAGGAAAAATGATTGTTGATAAACAGCTGAAGAGGAGGAATATTTCATAGATAAAACAATTGTATTCAAATAAATTCAATTCCAGTTAAATTCCAGATTTTAAAATATCTGGAGAACAACTACTTTATTAAACTATTGTTACAGCATTTGTGTTCTAGCTCAATTTCCTTGTCGCTAAGCAGATTTTCATTAACCCTCTCCTAGCAACACAAGTTAAAAATATTTCAAATTCTTCGGAAATTTTATAATGACAGCGCTGACCTGAATATTTCAAAAAGCTCTACCAGTTTTAAAATGGTACATACTGATAATTAACGTTTTAAGAGTATTTTATGTTGTAAAAAATATTTTGCATCAGAAAATTTTGTTTCGTCAGAAAATATTTAGAAAATAAACTCAGTAAATATGCATAAATAAGAATTTTATACATATTTTAGACTGAAGAGAAAGAAAACATATACACGCAAGAAAAAGTATAGTCAAAACTACCAACATCTGGCAATATTTTCCGTGTGTCTGGTTTTATGGGAACACCAAAAAAGTTCGGGAATTTTTACTGAAGTACTTTGGTAATGAGTATGGTAAAATTAAAAAAAAATATGATTTTATGAAATGTGATAAATTTGTGAAATGTGGTAAAATTTGGTAATTTTATCGTGATACCTTAGTGAATATCATCAACAATCTATTCTGGTAAACTTGCTTTTCAGTCTTGAATGTTTTACTAATTGTAAGAAAAGCTATAATATTTAACTATAATTCAAAATTTCCAGTAAACTACTACCGTAAGCGTGGAAAAATTATCAAATGGATTATTCAAATGCCGTAAATTTTTTTTATTAATCTGAATTATGGTATTTTGTTACCATAAATCTCACTGAAATGCAATACGGTGATATTACCTGAATTTTCTTTCTCCGTGTTCGAAATATTTTGATTACTGATATATTTCGCTTTTTTTCCGTGTTTTTATTCTCATTTTATTGACAATTATCTTCTTTTCAAATCATTTTCTAAAAGTAAAAAAAAAGAGAGAAGCTTAGTATTTTTGAAGGAAAAAATTATTATATATTCAAGGGACTAAAGTTTTCCATAACACATTTTTCAGACAAATACGAGAAACTAAATATTCCATTGAACAATTTTTAATGAATACAAGAAACTGTTTATAAACCATTTCTTTTTGAGCTAAAATTTAACATTATTTCTTGCTGAAAAGTTTTAATAATTTTTCTTTACAGTATAAAGATTCAGGTTAGCATATATTTTTTTACATAAATTGCTTGTGTTCGTTAGGAACTACTTAGTTTTGAATTTCCCGAAAATGTTTTATTTATTCTGACTGACAATTGTTATTTAAACTATTTTTTAAATGAATACAAATTTACATTTTTTATCAATGGAAATTTTTCCTAAGTTAAGAGTTTAAAAATAACATTTTCAAAAATATTTGAGATTTAAGTTATTCAGATTAATTCGAAAACTGAGCTTACAATCTGTAAGATACTTCACTTTTTACATATGCATAAATAAATGCATTGTTGCATATGCATTGCTGCAATAAAAGTAAATATTTACAGTCTACCATATTTTTATGCTACAATATCTCCTTGTCATGTATAAATTTTTGATGTTTATTCAGAGAAAATATCTTACAGTTATGCAAATATTTTTGACACCCATATGTTTATATTTATTATAACTTAAAGTTTATCTCACGCTTATAAATTAAACGTTTATTATATATATTAAAAATAGAGAGACATAATATGGCAACTAAAGTATAGAAAGTAAATTGATAGAACTTTATGTTTATTAAAGTTTTATGGCACACATAAAAAATCTTATGAATAAAATTTATATTTTCCTACGCAAGTATGATAAATGTAAATGAATATAAAATTTTGAAATATACCTTCAAAAATTTATGATTAATGCAAAAGATTTCACATATTATGCAACCGACCTGCACAAAAACACGCATAATGCTGCATAAAATATAAAATGCCATGTGACTAGAATAAATATAAACAATGTTCCTTTATTATATTGTTTTATTTTATTGATTATTTTATTAATACTTATGATAAAAAATACTGCTATCACGAATCAATTGCAAAATATTACTACTATTACATGCAATCTCGAAAAATTGCTATTTCAGGTAAAACCAGTATGTATTTTTTTTAGATTTTTTGACAAATTTGTTATCTATTATATTTATTATCTATGAATCTCCAACTCATATGACGCGGTGCTAATTTCATATATTACCTATTATACATTAAAAATATAAAGTGTTAATGTGAGAAATGATAAGCATACTTATTGTATAAAACAAACGGCAAAGAGCCGTGGTGGCTCAGGGCATAGAGCTTTCGTTTTCCAATGGTATTCCGGGTTCTAATCTCAGCGATGGCTGGTCGATACCAATTCCGCACCTGACTTGCACTGACTGCGTGCTCAAGTAAATTATTCTCAGTGGCTGTCGGATCATGTGTTAGAGTCTCCTTGCCATCAGGCTAACCATGGGAAGTTTTCGTGGTTTTCTTCTCCATGTAACACAATTGCGGCCTTATTGCAAAAAGTCCTCCCCGAAAGCAAATGTCTCCCTATACTTGATCCAGGAGGCTCCTTGTCTTCTGGATTGGGTTCAAAATTACATGGCTACAGAGTTGAACATTGGTAGTCGTAAACTCGAAATTGGGTTGACTGTTCAATGAAGGTTATAAGAATAAAACAAATAGCAAATTTTTCATTAAAATCGGTGAGACTCAGAGAGAAAAAATTATGTCTGCATATGAACGAACCACTGAGATAGATAGTTAAACTATATTTTGCTGCCTGCCAGCAGATCTTGCCGTGCTGATTCAAATGATACTTTTTGTAGAAACATATCATAGCGAGCTGACATATCTAAGAAACATATATAACCACGATAAATTTTCGTGGTTTTTACATCCATTTAGGGCAAATGCTGACTAGTTTTACTTAAAAGAGTCTTCTTGAAGAGGAATATCTCTTGTCTTCTAAATTCTAGGCTAAGAAGTTAAAAATGAGCCAAGCGCATATTCACAAAGTGCATTGGTGTAGGTCGGTGGAAAATTGTGACGTGGTAACCAAATTACCAAGAAAAATATTTTTTTAATTTTTTTATTTCCAATGGCAGACATGAAAGACAAATTTGTATCTGAGAGCAAAACAAAGAAAGAACAAAAAATGGAAACAAGATTTACTCAGAGAAAGAGACTATAGGCCTTTAATAATGTATCTCGTCCGCCAATAACGTTCCCACAAGGGTCCAGGAGGAAGTGCAGGACAACGTCTCAGATGGTTAGCGTCCATTCCTTCTTGCAGGTTACATAATGGACAAAAAGGGCTTGAAAAGATTTTGATTCTGTACAGGTGTTTCGATAAACTGTCATGGCCAGTGGCAAGGCGAAAAAGGGCCGCAGATTTTTCTCTTGGCCATGACGGAATATCTTTAATTCCTTCCCACCAGTCCTTATCTTTATTTACTTCTTGGAGTTTTGCCTCAAATGTTGTTCGAAGAGAGATTTTTATTAGCCTTTTTGCGGTGTGGAAAGGAACTGGCTTAAGAGATTTCTTAATATAGATAGAATCTTGGCGGCTTTTTGGCCAGAAGTCTGCAGTTTCGTTACCTTGAAGCCCACAGTACGCTGTTACCCATTGCATGGCGACATTTTTGTTGTGTTGGTCAAGACTGTGAAGGGCTTGACGATAATGTAAAATGTCGGCAGAAGCAGGGGCTTCGGACCAAGAAAAATAAGGGCCGTTTAAATAATCTTGCGTAGCTTACCACGATAGATAAAATACCCAAAGCAGCTCAATAAAAATTTTTATATATTAAAATGTGTCATTTTGGCATAAAATGTGGTAAATAATTTAAGTGTTTCAATAACTATACCTAGATATTTTTTGGATTGAAACTAATCAAAATATTTTTATTTAATTTTAGAAAAACGTTTATATATAACAAAATGACAACATCTTGACCACAATCATGAATTTTAAATCAAAAATTACCGAAATCTCACCTATTACAGAGATACAAGTCGGTAAAACGTTGAATCCTTGAAACTTGTGCTCAAGCTGCCTCTGAAACGTTTTTGATCGGTTTTTACATCTATGTCAAATTTTATACCAGTTCAGTTCAAATTATGATGGCTAAAATTTTATTTCAAGAATATGTATGAATTTTTATCAAGCAAAAATTATATTTCATGAAAAATATTGAAAAACTTCCTTGAAAGCAAGCAAATATTACGTATAAAAATCATTAAAGTATTCTTTTATTATGTATTTTTATTATTACATTTATGTTAAAGAGTTAGAATCAAACAAGTAGACCTCTAAATATTTTGCGAGTTACTTCTCCACTAACATACTAAAGACATAGCGATTGAGTGTAAAAACAAAAAAGATCATCCTATAAACTTTTACGCACATTGACTTAAATTCACTGAAACGTCACACAGTCGTTTATTATACTAATCTTTTCAGTTACGTTTAGAATCTTACTCATTCAATCATATTTTGCAACCATAGGTTTTTAGATTTTAGGTTAATTATGTTTTTTTTTCATGTTAATCATACTTGTAGTGTGAAGTTACAATGTGTTGGACAATAAAAAAATGGTTTTGTGGCTTGCATTGTTAAAATAAAACTTTCAATTTATTAAGCAATTGAAGGTTCAAATGCAAAAATCAGTGAGATATTTAAAGTATATTTATTTCAGTTTGCATTTTTGAAAACACATAATTTTCTTTATCAATAACTTATTCAATAAAAAATTGACGAACAAAAAATCTCCTCATTCATCGTTATAGAGTTTTTAATTCAAAAAAATTTTTGTGTGTTTAAAATTCAATTTTTTAGTTATTTACATAACAATGAAGTATTTATTTCAGATTTTTAATATAATTACGTTCATGCAAATGCTTATAGGAAATATGATAGAAGAAATATGATAATACTGTGGTAAACTATAAGTATTTTTCAGTACAGAACTGTTTTTATCATGCAAAAAATTATATAAAATTAATAAAATAACTGTCACTCGAAAGAATTAGTCCAATACGTCACTAAAAATATGCTTGTTTTTTAAATGAAATACTTTTACAACGAAGCCATCAATCAATTCTAGTGTATTCTAAAATATGTGCTGTCAGTAAATGAACAAACAAAAAAGGGATAACTAGATAAGTGAAATTATAACAGTAGAAAGTAAATGAAAAATATGACTACATGCACTGTACCAAACTGTTACTAGTTACCTACTTCCACACCAAAAATGGTAACAAGTATGCAGCAAAGATTTTTACAGTGTAGAATTTGATACATGAAATTTTGTTTTTCCTCACAATAATTGCAAATTAGGAATGTTCTATGAAACTCGACAGAAGGCATCCTTTTCATTTAAGCAACTTCATATTAACATAGTTGCATGATTAAAATGATTCTGAAAATAATTACTTTTATTTACGATTAACTCTTTTACTCATTCTGCTAGCTAATGAGCTTCCTTTGTCAAAAGCGTAATTTTATTTCCACCATTGTGCGAAAATTAATAAGTTACATCTGCAAATAAATTTCATGTCCTTGTTTACTTTAATTCAATAGCACCTCCTCTATGCAAGTAAAATTAAAATAATGTCCTATAATCCTGAAATGAATTGTTAATAAATGCAACAATTATTGTATGTAATTTTAAAATCTTATGCAATTAGTTGATACAGTTTTTTTTTACTAAATTGTTTTCAACTAAGAATCATGTTGATTTGAAATGCAAATTGCAATCTAATTTTAAAATACTATTTAAGAAAACAAGTTGTTAAAGAAAAAAAAATTGTTTGCCTACGTTTTAATCTTAAGTGATAAAAATGAAAAATAATAATGAAAGATAACTAAATAAATAATTAAATTATTTACTGGTTAGTAACATAAAAAATTTTCTGTTCTAACTGCGATGTAAGATATTTCGGAAGTGAGTTGTAAATAAGCTAAACTTCTAATTTTGTTTTCTACTTTTATGAACTTAATGTTATGAATTGAAAAATTAATGGAAAGGTAAAAGGGTTATAGCAGGACTGAATCATTTAAGAGTTGACGGATACTAAAGTAATGGGTTTTTCCACCACCCCTTTTGCCATAAAAAGCAAAGGTACAAGTTAGAATTGTCTGATCGTGACAAGTTTTGAATATTATACGAGTTCTACAAGATACAAATCATTAAAAATATTTTATCTTTCTTAATTGTCTCGTCTATTATATCTTTCAGTTTTGTGCATATTTTCGTAATGTTCATCGGTACATTTTTTTTGATAATATACTTTATTAAACCTCGTATGAAAACGTGTATTTAGCTAGCAATAAAATATTGAGAAATATACTAAATACAGAATGCCGAAAGTTTTTCAGATCTGTGATTCAGAGAGTTAATTGTTCAAGTAAATATAATTGTCCTAAACAAAATATTTTTGCAAACTATGACCTCCTACAGTTACATTCGGCAGCTCAAAATAATAGTAAGAAATCGGATAATAGTAAAAAATCATTTGTAAGCAATATTGCCCTTCGATTAATTACGGAAGAATCTAAACATTCTTTTTCCTCCAAAAACTTAGGTGTTTGTAAGAGTACCGCGACCGGTATCTGATATTAAAATCCACGATTGTTATATACTCTGAAGAGCCAAAAAAACTGGTATACCTGTCTAATATCGTGTAGGGCCCCCGCGAGCACCGCAGAAGTGCCGCAACACGACGTGGCATAGATTAGATCAATGTGGGAAGTAGTGCTGGAGATAATTGACACCATGAATCCTGCAGGGCTGTCCATAAACCAGTGGGAGTAAGAGGGGGTGAGGATATCTTCTGAACATCACGTTGCAAGGCATCCAAAATATGTTCAATAATGTTCTTGTCTGGGGATTTTGGTGGCCAGCGGCACTCTTCTGAATTTAGACACTTCCGAATTTAGACACTGAAATTAGACACTTAGACAAGCTCTATATTTGAATTCCAGTATATTTTTAATTTCATTTTTTGACATGTGTTAGGTGATATGTATTAAAAGTGATGTAATTAACACCACTAAAAGTTCATTATGCTAAATAACAAGCGGAGACAAAAAATCCATGAAACTTACCGCACTGTATGTGTCTAACATTTTTGTTTTTAATTTTTATTTATTATTTTTTAAAGCCTAGTTAATAAAACCAAAATATACGCTACTTAAAACATTCATTTCGTAATTTTTCCATAATTATAAAATGTTTAAAATTGTAGTTCTTATTTCCACATATTTAGTAAAATAAATACGAAACTGAAAAGTGAATTAAAACGAATAAATGGTTTTATGCCATGCTCTGGGCAGCGGTTTCCAATTTTTTTTTGGCTACGGAACCCAGAGTAATCAACCTTTATTTGACAGAACCCCGACTTCATAAATACGTTTATTAAGATAACTGTGAACGTTATAACCCCAAAAGACTATTTTAAAGCAAATTAGAGGAATGGAGATTTTTCATTGTTTTATCATTAATTAGTTTTTATCATTAATTATCATTAATTAGTTTTTTCGACTGACTGCTAAATAGGTAGTCCTCTTGCTAGTTCAGTTATGAATTTGTTTTTGGTGTATACACGTAAACTGAAAATCTTTAAAATGCGTCGAATTAGGGTTCACATCGACAATGAAAACTTAAAAGAACTGCTATGAAAGTTGAAAATGGTATTAGGAAAAATATTTCTTAATTAAAGAATTTCTTAATTGAAGAAAGTGCCATAGAAATATTAAGGTAATATTTTATAAATGCTAGTACTTTTCTTCATTAGTTCAATATATTGTTATTAAATTTCTTTTTCTATTTCATTCGCATTTCCCTTGAAGTAATTTCATAAAGGAAACCAAAACATTAAATAAATTATGAATTATAGGTTGGATCTAAATATAATCAGAGGTTTCAAAACTCATCACAAACTTAACTAAAACCAAACTTAATCATCACTCAAAACTTAAACTATAAAAAATAATAACTCACGGAGCCCCTTAAACTCTTCAAGGTAACCCAGGGGTTCCACGTAACATTTGGGAACCGCTGCTGTAAGGACTCATGATAAAATTACCAATCTCTACCATATATACAAAATTTTATCGCGTATTACTAAGTCATATTTTAGTGTTAATTTTACTAAAATTATTACCGAAGCACTGCGGTAAATATTGCAGAGCTCTTTAGTGTTCCCATAGAGCCAAAAACACTATTTATTACTACAATTTTACTATATTCTGGTAGTTTTTGATGATATTTTTTTTCTAAATGCAGGACCAAATTAAAGTTTATTAATTTATGTATTTATATATCTCTATTTGTAACTTGTTGTAGTTATTTATATACTTCTTATTAAATTTTTATTTTTATACCACTTTTTTCATTCATAAAAAAGAATCTTCGTTTTTTAACTTTTTAATACGCTATGAAAGTTTTTTAACTTCTATGAAAGTTTATTTTCGTTTTTTAACTTTTTAATACGCTATGAATTATTTACAAATGTATTAAACTATAGAAAAAATTTGAAAGTTTTAAATACAAATGTTACATTTAAAATGATTAAATTTTAAAATATTGATTCAGTTATAGATGTTTGGTATTTTTCATTTAAGCTTGAGAC